AATCTAATCCTCCTCCTCTCCATATGCTAGTGTGCAAAAGTACATTACCTATACTATATTTGGATTGTTCTGGTAAATAAAGCCATCTCCTTAATGTGGTAGTAAATGCCTCTTACGTTGAGAACTTTCTGGCCCTAAGTCCAGTCCTGGCTATTTGATTACTGTAACTGTATAAAGGAGTTGATCAAGAATCTAGACCACACTGGAAATTACGCAGGTGCTGTGAGCCTACAACTCACAGTTGTCCTCCCCACTGATTATGGGTACATCTATATTGTAGAACTAGTGTACCATTTTAACTGCTGTGCCTCTATGCTATGGAATCATAGGGGATATAGTTTTATACGACTTTTAGCCTTCTCTGCCAAAGAATAATGTTGTCCCACCAAACTACAAATCCCAAGATCCCACAGCATTGAGGCATAACAGTTATAGCAGTGTTCAAGTACATTCATTTTACAATGCTAATGCACTCCATGAAAGCCACATGATTCCTTCCTCAGATCTAGACCAAAGGGTTCTGCTTTAGTGGCTTGATTTTTAGCATTTTAGTAGTCCAGTGTAGATCTGGGTTCACTGTGAATCAAACTGGTTGATGACTGAGGTGGTTAGTAGTCAGGCATGTAGCCGGGGGGGGGGGGCTTGAGGGGCTTCAGCCCCCCCCCCCCCGAAATTCTCATGGTGGTTCGCGAAAAGGCCTTACTGGTGCATTATTTAAACTGTTTTGTTTATTCATATCATGATCTGATCACCATACTCAATATATCCCATATGCATGGGGGTATTGGGGTAATGATACAAAAGGTTTGCTAGGCTAGACCCTCTTTCACTCATACTCAGCCCCCCCCCGAAACCCCCCCCCACCCCCTGAAAAAAACCACCCCCCCCTGAAAAAAGCCCCCCCCCCAAATCGAAATCCTGGCTACGGGCCTGTTAGTAGTGTTACCCTACACTGTCAGTTTAGGCTGAAACCAGAAGAAGGGAGCCAGAAGATTCCTTGAACTAATATACAGTATATTCTGGCGTATAAGACTACTTTTTAACCCAAGAAAATCTTCTCAAAAGTCAGGGGTCGTCTTATACGCGGGTGTAGTCTTATGCATGGGAGTTGTCTTAACTCTATATTTTAACTGGAAAAGTTGGGGGTCGTCTTATACGCCCAGTCGTCTTATATGCCGGAATATACGGTAATAAGATTCCTGCCTTGCCAACTTTCCTGGCTGTTGAAGATGTAATGGTTTAGGGAAGGGATCCCCAAACTAAAACTTAAATATGGTATTGTTATTTCATGTGTTATTTTTTGCAGTACAAACAAGATAAATGAAATGTGCATGGGAATCAGTTTCCTTCTCTTTATCTGATGCAATCACAAGATCAGAAGGTTTGACTCATTTTTAAAACTGCAATAAAATATTATTGTCAGACTTGGGCAGACTTTGGTTTGTCTCAATGTGTCTTAGGAAAAAAGTTTAGTTTCAAAGTATGGTTTATATACGATTGGCCCTCAATATCTGCAAATTTAACTGGTGTAGATTTGTTTAGCTGTGAATTTGATTAACACTTCTCTAGGAATACCTAGGTCCTCTGGGGTGACTCTGTGGTCAACTTTCACCAGAAACAGACTATATAGCTATTCTAGAGGACCTGGAGATTCCTAGAGAGAACATTTCTCTAAGATTCCTTAGAGCAGTGGTTCTCAACCTGGGGTCCCCAGATGTTTTTGGCCTTCAACACCCAGAAATCCTAACAGCTGGTAAACTAGCTGGGATTTCTGGGAGTTGTAGGTCAAAACACCTGGGGACCCACAGGTTGAGAAGCACTGCCTTAGAGCCTTAATTTAATACTGATTTAGGCTCTCATTCCATGGATTCTGAGCTCCATTTCCATGTGCTTCGGAAACAGAGTCCCATGGCCATAACATGAAGTTAAGGGCACTTCTAGTGAGACTCCATTTCCACAGCACATGGAAACAGAGGCCAGAATGCATTTTAAAGCATTGGGTGCTGCCAGACTCCAAGTGGGGAAAACCACAGGAAAGGACTTGTAACGGCTGGCTATCCCATTAGATGGACCTCCCTGGGAGGGAATGGAGTAAGGTGTTTCCCTACGCTTTCCCCAACTTTCCTCCTACTCATGGGATAAGGTCGCTTGAGTCACCCTGGAGGACCAAGAGATTGCTAGAGAAATATTCTCTCTAGTTTAAAAAAGGAGAGAGGGTTATTTGTGAATTTTTCACTGTCTCATGGCTCCTGCACTCTGAATCCAACAAAAGTTTAGTTGGCTTTTTACTCCAAAGCTGTCTTCTCCAAAACTCCACAAGTCTATTCTATGTTGGCACAAGAAACTTCTATCTCCTCATCACCCCCACCCTGCCTTCTCCTCACATCCAGTACATCTTGGTGTTAGGACTACACTGAGCATTATTATACTATACAAAAATACTTTTTCTGCAGCATAAATTAACTGAACATTGGTTCATTAGCTCATTTTACAGTGGGCCAGTGATTGTTCCAGTTGGGTTTTTTTGGGGGGAGGGGGTGCAATCCTTGGGTAAGATATTCCCAGTGGGCCATCTTATCTATGTGGACAATATATGCCTCTCCTCATCATTGCTCTACTTATTCATTTATGTGATTCTCCTGGAGGAAACAAAACAAGGTGGGTTTCCCTGCTTGTCTTCCTTTCTTTTCCTACTTCACACGGACAGATAAACAAGCTGTAAATAAAGTGAGTAAGAACAGGACCAAGGGTTTGAAATGACCTCTTTATTGGGAAGAGGCCTTGACAAATAACCAGTGGTACTGATTTCGATGTTAGACCTGCTGTACAAAAATACTCATAGCTAAATTGAATAATGCGCATATCATTATCCTACAATGGATAGGTAAGTTAAGCAATTCATTCCATTTATTTGACATCATTCATCTGACTAGTTGCTAATCCAGTTACTGCAGGCCTACATTTACAATTTCTATAAAATTACTGTACCATGTATCCTCAGAGCTTGTCTTGGATTAGTTCAGCCAAAAGATGGAACTAAATGAGTTCAGTCAAAAGATGGACCAAACTGTATTAGTAAACAGAAATGAAAGACATGAGTGTGCTGCATTAAGGGTGACTTTATTGGAATACAATGAGTTCACGTGAATAACGCAGGTGTCTCTTCCAATTCGTATGCGTTGTTGAGATATATATCCTATGTACAAAACAGTTGAGAGGTATATCTATAGCATTTAGAATGACCAATAGTACTAACATATGTTGAAAACATGAAAACAGTACCGTTATTCTGAGTGTATGACTGGTTTTTGACTATTGTATTGTTGGTTTTTTCACCTTCAAAAAGAATACAAAGGAGACCACACAGATACTTCTCAGGTCCAATATAAGGTACAGATGTCTTTATAGTTAATTTGTTTCCCACAGTCCAGAACCATTCTTATGTGACATTTACTGCACTTATGTGACATTTACTGCACCTTTTTTTCTTTTTTATGCCTTAAAATTCATGGGTGTCAGTTTAGAAAATTATATTAACTGTTCTTAGTTCATGTAATATGGAGGAAATGGTAAGGAGGGCAAATGTTTTTCAATGAAATCTTTAAAATGTATTCACCATAATAAAAAAATAACTTTGGGTAGATATCTTTCAACAATGCCAAACATAGTGCAACTTTCTTGGTTGTTGCTAAGCTTATAGAACAGCTTCCTTACAAGAGTTTTAAATGTAATTGTTGCTACATTCCCAGTGAAAAGATGAACAATGGCTATTATGATTCCCTGGAAGAAAGCCTGTCCTTCACTATCCTGAAAATATCCTTTAGAAAGAGTTATGTGTCTCCCAGACTGAACTCTGTTCACATAGAACAACTGTGAGGCAAAAAGGTTTAAGGCACAATCATAACTCACATGACTGAGAGCCAGCTGACTCAATACTAGGCCTGCTCAAGCTTTGTTGAATCTAAACCACTTCCGATTTAGGGATTTTGGAAATTATTTAGGATTACTCAGGCCCTTCATAACTTTATACTAATGCAATTACTATATTTTTGGACTAGGGGAACATTTGGAACTCCTTTGTTCCATTCTTCCTCTCTTCTTTTGTTGACCCTTCCTCTGTCATCTCAGCCAGCAGAGCAGATGTGATAGCAGGTTCCTCACTCATTTGATCTCTGAGACCAGCCAAGAGAAGGTGGATATGTTGGCACAAGAAACTTATATCTCCTCATCACCCCCACCCTGCCTTCTCCTCACATCCAGTACATCTTGGTGTTAGGACTACACTGATCATTATTATACTATACAAAAATACTTTTTCTGCAGCATACCACAATTCCAGAAGTGGGTCACAGGGATTCTTGAGGTGCAAATGTTAAGTTTTTCAAATGAGAAATGTCTTCAAATTTTTCACAAGTTCTAAACTACAAACTTCTGGTTACACTGCAATACCATCATATTAGTTATCAGAACTCTATTTCTTGATTTTTCAAAGATCACCACATATGCACATCATAGTGTTGTTATAAAATGAGATCCCTTCCATTCATTTACAATAATTTTTCTTACTCTGATATGCACACAAGCAGCTGAGTACACGGAAATGCTGCATTCTGGGGTTTTTGGAGGAAGGACATGCATAACAGACAGTATTTTGATGCACAAAATTACTTTTGCCTACCAGTGTAGGAAAACAAATAATGCATACAAATGGAAGGCTGATGAAACCACACTAGTGTGTGCATACACACATTCTGGAAATAATAACAGAATGTGGGAACAGGAGGAAATAAAAATAGAGAAGATCAGAAGATAAGGAAAAGCCAATTAGATGTCTTACAAACACAGTGAGGAAATTCCTCACCACAAGAAGTTTCTCAGGTGATCAATGAATAGGCAAAGTATTCCCTGATGGTAGAGCGTGTGAAAACCACTGTAATAGACAAAGCTAAATAGTGCCAAAGCCTCTCTCTTGGCCAATCTTAAGCCTCAAGTTTTCTTACCCTCTGCTTCCGCAGGCTTCCTGGGCTGGTGGGAGAAGGGCTTGGAGACTTCCCAGAGCGGGGAGTAGAAAGCTGGCTACCAGGAGTTCCATTGACTAGAAAAACAGATAAACAAATAAAGAAGAAAGGCATCAGATCTGTGTAGCACTGCAATATGAACAATTCACACTCTTCCTCCATGTCTCTCTACATAATAATTGTTATTTGATCATGCCATTTCTTCTACATATATATACTCCTAACCTCCATAATAAACATTCAATTAAGGGAGCTTGCAAGTAATTCCGCTTTATAGCATAAGTGTATCAATACTGACATGCCTTACATTATGTTTAAACAAGTGATCATCTAATTTGTATTCACTCTGTGGACACAACGCTGATAGAATTAAAATTATTGCCTTCAACTGTGGAGTCTTTGTGAATGCAAAAAGAAGCACAGCCATATGCTTTCCCCCCACCATGTTTAAGCAGTTACTCTCTGCATAAAATCTTCTATTTCTGTGTGGGGGTGGGATGTCTCATGGTGTTATTCATTAGCAATTTAAAATCAGTGCTGTAACAGAATAGGGACAGAATATAGAGGTAGTGTTAATAGCAATGGGTTACTCAGTTGTAAAGATTTCTTTATGGTACCTTTGACCCAAGCATTAACCCAGAGATAACTCTTATGGACTCTGCCATTTTTCTAATATCATTGCCTGGCTGTCCTAAAATATGAATGGCTCTTTGAAACTGTTGATGCAGTTTTTACAAGCATCCTTTCCATTTCCATAAAATCTACTGTAAAATTAAGAGCACCTCCCTCCCAAGAGCAAAGCACAGAGCAACTGAGCACAGGATACTACTAATCATGTACTGAAAAGCCAAAAGAGAAAGCAGAAGAGAGATGGAGAGATTGAAAGCAAGAGAAATGCTACGGAATAAAATGTCTCCTCAGACACAGCACTGCTAGGTTACAAACTATATTCAGCAGCAACAGGGAGAAAAAAAGCATCCGCTACCAGACACCCAACTCTCTGCCTTGAATTAATATTTACATGCCAGGATAGCAATAAGGCATTTAACTTACCTTCTATGAGTTCTAACATGGACACAGACTTAGTTTTTAAACCTGATAATGCCAAGCAGGAAAATGCTTGCCTTTGTACTATAGCCAGGCACTAGCAGAAATGGGAAGCGCTGGGATTAGTTAAGGATAGCCAAAGCTGCTCGCAGAGAGAGCTGAATGAGATGCAGGATTCATAAGCCGAAGCCTTTTCTGCGTAAAGGCTGACGTCTTCCGAGCAGCAGTGGGAGGTGCAGGTGCTGTCTTAGGGGCTACATCAAAGGTGTCAATTAAGCACAATGCCACGACTTTAGGATGCTGAGCAACTGCAGCCCCCACTCGGATCTACGAAGCCCCCAAAGCCTTAGTAATCTTATATGCTGCTGCACACTGAATCATAATGAGGTGCCTTTGGGGGCAATATACTAGATGACTCATCTGAAAATCACAATGACAATAACTCTTGTAAAACCTTAGCTGACTGGCAGTCTCACAACTGCTAAACCCATCAGAGAAAACTGGATTTTACAGCTCTGTGGGGTAGGGAGGATGTTTCTTCCCACCTGCCAAATATTCACAGTAGCAAACACAATGGCCCAGATAGCTTACATGCATGGATTTTTTTATTCAGGTCATACAAGAGGAGCATTAAATGATACACTAACTAATGATTACAATACTGAATGATGAGTTGATCTTTGAATGCCTGTCATTTGCAGTGTATTGGAACAGGTATATGAAAGCTGTAGAATTAACAGACAACATCTTGAATCCTCTTCGTTAGTGTGAACTAGTCATTTGCATGAGTTTACAGAAAAGATCGTTGGAGTGATGTGGACAGCGGCAACTGGAAAGAAGACTTAGGATACCTGCGACATAGATTTAACCCAGATTTGGATTTGGTTTTAACTGGCGTGTTTAATCTACTGTTTTAATGAATTGATTTAATATTTTAATGTATTTGTTGACTGTTTATATGGGGATAGCACCATACGGTGCTTGTATGAGGCCGCCCTGAGTCCCCCCTCGGGGGGGGGGGGGGGGGAGAAGGGCGGGGTAGAAGTGTATGAAATATATACATAATAAATGTGCTTGCTTATAAAAACCACAGACACCCCCAAATACAGGTTAAACCATTTCCCATCATTCTGGCTGACTATGGCATTAAATTTGTTGTTAACTTTAACTATAGTATATCCATTGAATCAATTGTTGAATGGAGAGATGACACATGGGTAAATTCCATTAAAATGATCAAGGGTCTGGAGAACAAGCCCTATGAGGAGCGGCTTAAGGAGCTGGGCGTGTTTAGCCTGAAGAAGAGAAGGCTGAGAGGAGATATGATAGCCATGTATAAATATGTGAGAGGAAGCCACAGGGAGGAGGGAGCAAGCTTGTTTTCTGCTTCCCTGGAGACTAGGATGCGAAACAATGGCTTCAAACTACAAGAAAGGAGATTCCATCTGAACATGAGGAAGAACTTCCTGACTGTGAGAGCCGTTCAGCAGTGGAACTCTCTGCCCCGGAGTGTGGTGGAGGCTCCTTCTTTGGAAGCTTTTAAACAGAGGCTGGATGGCCATCTGTCGGGGTGATTTGAATGCAATATTCCTGCTTCTTGGCAGGGGGTTGGACTGGATGGCCCATGAGGTCTCTTCCAACTCTTTGATTCTATGATTCTTTGAGTCAATGTACTTACTATAGTTAAGATTAACAACGAATTTCATGCAATTGTCAGCCAGAATGATGGGAAATGGTTTAACCTGTATTTAGGGGTATCTGTGGTTTTTATAATCAAGCTCATCACTCTAATGGTCTTTTCTGTGAACTCATGCAATGGACACTAGCTTGTAAAACAGAGCACATTTATCAATTAATTCTAAATGTAAAATTTTAAATTTTAAATAGCTTCACATAGTTAATTTAGAAGAGGCAATAAGGTCTTTCAATTAAAAGGGGGCTAATACCAGGGCTACAGTCAACAGCGTTTAAAGTTGAGCAAACGCCTGGGTTTCTAAACAAATGATCTACCGTTAAATTCACACAATGACCCATATATGAAAATGCTAAGCTTTTAAATATTTTCTCTATCTTTACAGTCACATATTGTAAGATATAATAGCGCTCATGCACCTCTGAGGATTCGGAATAAAATTACAGAGCAGCTTTAAATTGTCCTTCAATTGACCACCCCTTTCCAGACATTTCCCCCATCACTAGGCAAGAGGCCAAGAGTTTATGGATGAAACACACACACACACACACATGTTCAGTGTAAAATATTCTGAGGTTCTCTTTCTGACATCATTACTTGTAAATCTTCTCAAATAATCAGAGGTCTACATGGGCATGAAAATCTGGACTCCCCTTGAATAGGCACCAGGCTATTTTTACAACATTCTTATTACTTCCAGTGAGTACTATGGGTTATCCTGGGTTAAATTTGGTTTTGCCTCACTGCATGCGAAGTTGAGGTATGCTCCAGAGTTTGTTTGAAACTACGGAGCATCCTGTGGCTTAAGGGCAGAGCTGATAGCTGGATCAGGTTCAGTTCAGATGTCCACTGTCTGCACAAAAAACCACTGCTATCACATTTTCCCTGAACTCATCAGTGTAGGGAAAGGGGGATGAATTGTGCCAGTGTCAGTACCATCATATCTTTTCCAGTTGGCCACAGAGCTCTATGTGACCTGGTTATGCTGGACACCCCATGTAGACATCACCATCATCATCATCATCACCATTTATACCCTGCTTTTTCTCCCGACAAAAGAAACTCGTACTAAGCTCTGTGGCCAGTTAGGAGTGGTAATGGTGACATGAAAAGTGAGGTGATGGTCCAGCACAGCCAATGTAGTTTTGGCCTGGCTGGACTGTGTTGGATGCATGTGTGGACACCTCTGTCAGAGATTTCTGCTCTGAACTGGCCACAAGTTTACCAGCCAGTGTAAACCTGCTCTGGGAGAGATGACTTTCACGGAGTTTCATCAGAGAAAACCCTGGCAAGGAGAACAGTATAATCCAGCTTTGCTTCCTTATGGCAGGCCTTTTCAACTATGGCTCTCCAGCTGTTTGTGCTTCCAACTCCCAGACCCCAAGCTAGCTTGTTCAATAGTCAGGAATTCTGGGAAATGAAGTCCAAAATACTAGCAGGGCTGTGGATTGAAGAGGCCTGACTTATGGTATCTCAAATCTTCCCCCCAAACATATAACATTGCCATTTCCCTAGAAACTATGGGCAAGGATGCAATCCTTAATTTACTGGGTCCTTGTAGGAAAGAATGGAAAACTTCAAGTTTACTTTCACTGGGTAAGATCATGATTTTTCATATTTTGGAATTGTCCCGTCCCCCTTCCCCCCCACCCCACCACAACCACAAAATATGGTGCTTTAAATCACTTTCCAGCCTGCTGGAGCTTCCAAGGTGATGCACAGCAGATAAAAACATTGTATGAAGGCAGACCGAAACATTTTTTAAAAAGCCATGCTTTTAAAACAACGAACCCTAAAGCCAACCCTAAAATAGGGTTACCTTATTTTGAAATGCGAAAAAGTCTACTTCAAACCTCCAATTGCTATGACAACTCTCACTTTAAAATACCCTTATTATATAAGCTGCGATAATTGCTACTAGAAATATTTCAAAACTTAGCACTGTATTTCAGTAAGAACAATTCAAATTGTTTATTTAGCAATATTTAAGAATTCAAACAATGGATCTGGCTACAACGGAATTTTCAATACCTATCTAATTCTAAAATGAAATGTGCCCAAAGTATTGCAAATATGCTATGAAGCACATTGGTACATGAAACTCCTGCTTGAGTACAAATAAGAACAATAACCTGTCTCATTCTGGTGCATTTTGTTCTTCCTCCTGACACTGACTGGCTCAAGCATGCCATTATACAGATTTTACAGGCTTGGCTACACCAGAGTCTTTCCTTTCTCCCTTCTTTGCCTCTTCTGACAGTCACAGCTTTTGGAAACAGGTGTGCCATTCAATAACCTTCACAGGGACGAGGCTTGCAGGTTTGGCATTTCCTTCACCTTACTTTAATCCAGCATGCTTTTCTTCCTTCTTGCCATACTTCACCTTGTCCACTTCCTCCAGTCTGAAAGAGGGCATGTTCTAGAAAAGGTGAGCCTAAGAAACTCGACCTAAACCTACTTTTAAGCAGTAGAGGTTCTGCAGAACAATGCAGTCGTAGATGTTTAGAATACAGAATCACAGTTTGAAAAGACAACAAGGATCATCCACTCCATCCCTCTGACACTATGAAATCACTCCCAACAGATGGCCATCCAGCCTCTGCTTCAAACGCACAATCCATTGGCGCTCTTGGAAACTGTGCTCTTTATTCGTCCAACAAGCAAACAAACATTCCAGCCCCTGACTAGTATCATTCATAAGTTACATTCATAAGTCGATGGCAAATTGTAAGAGGCAGAATAAACACAAAGGTATTGATTTTTGATTATTATGAGGTTTATAACATTTTAAACATCAAAATATAGTGCAAACAGAGGGTGATATGAAGGTGAAGTGTGACAGTCTCAACATTAAGCTTCCCTGTTCTACTAGGTTTAAGGTGCAACCGCTTACCCATCATAGATAGTTGTGGATGTAATACAGCGACACCTTAGCCTTCACAGTGGGGCACAGAAGTACATATTTTAGAATGTAATTTTATAATAGGATAATCTTGCCAGATTTTGTAGCAAGTAATGGCAGTGCTTTGCACTTAAATCTGATTGTTTGTTAGTTGCTGCTGGTAGAAAGAACATTTTGTACTCTACAAAACATTCGTGCATGGTTGATGTTGCTTATTTACTCAAATTGTTTGCCAGACATAATAAAGACACAGAATTGGGAGAACACTGGTGAGAAAAAATCAAATGTCTTTAAGAGAATTACTGTAGTTTTTTTAAAAAACTACAATAAAATCACACAATTCTCACCTTACATGATAGTTTAGTGATTTGTATCTAATTATGTATCTTAAGAGTATTTTGCATTATAGCTTTCCCTGCATGTTATTTTACCAGAAGATCCACATGTATACAATATCACAAAATATATAATATCAACCACATGAACAGAATGCCAACATGTATACAATGTTTTTACAGTTCACAGCTCATCCTATGTTCTACCCTGACTGATTGTATATGTATTGATGGATCCTATTGTAGATAAGCATCTAATAATATACCATTGCAATGGGAATGTGCTGTTAAGGATTGGATTTATGAATCCAATCTCTCTGTTCTTAGAAAACGAATATCTGGGCTGAGCCCTCTGAATAATTTTCAATAGATTATGCACAAAGCCGTCAAACTCAAGGTCACTGGGCCAAATCTGGTCCGCCATGACATTTTTGTGGCCCTCCAGATGCTGGGCCACAAGTCATCATTAGACATGATGAATTTTCTATTTAGTCAGGATACTGGGGTTTGAATTTAAAAACAAGGCTTGTGGATATGATGTCCGGATTTAAAATGCCCTTTCACCTCAAAGCCACAGGTGCTGTTGGGTTGTAATTTCCATTAAACCCAGTCTACATGGCAGATAATCAAAAGTGATGGGAATTGTCATTCAATAATATCTGGGGGCCCAAATTGGATAAAAACAAAAGAGTACTGACACTATGCAAGAAAATTATAATTGGCCTGCTGTATCCACAGATTTTCTATCCATGGATTCAACGGACCTTTGAAGGCAACCATAAAGCTGTTGTGTTCCTCAGTTATGATGATGATGATGATGATGATAAATTTTATTTACATCCCACCACTATCTCCCCAAAGGGGACTCGGGGCAGCTAAATGAGGCCAAGCCCAAAATTACAATGCAGTAAAATAAAATACAACAAAGAAAAAATAACATCAAAATAAGATACATAAAATAGCAAAATAAAATAAACAGTTACAAAATAACAAGATAAAGAAATAGAACACAATGGGCGGGCCAAATGCAGAGGATAAAAATGGATAAAACGTAGATGAGATAGTAGTGGGAGAATATCTTTCTGAGAGAGGAGCTCAAAAGAGGCGAACAGTGGGGCTAGACCTTCATTAAGGATGTGGGAAAGAGCATCATGAGGACGGAACTGTAGTTGGAACAGACAAGATATGGGATATATGTTCACTTGCCAAATGAATCTGACACCCCTGGATTATGAGAACTCTGAATTCTTCCCTGCCTGGGATTAAAATAAAATATAAGGAAATATTCCCAAAACCATCTACAGTGACTGTAGATATCACATTTTTTATGCCAGAGTTCCCTGAGATGTGAAAATTATTTCAATGGTTCCTCCAGGTAAAAAGTCTGGGAAAGGCTGGATTAGACAGTCCTGTTCCAGATGGATAAAAAGTCCAGTAAGAATGGAGTAACCTCTTTCCTTCCCCTGTAAAGACTAAAAACTCTGAGAAACCTTTGGGGGCAAATTGGGAGCAGAGGAAGAAAGTCCTGGCTGCGTAGGTGAAAATACTGTGTGATCTAGGCCACTGTCTAGTCTAAGGCAGTTACCTAATCTCCCTACTTTTGTACCAACCCACAGTTATTTTAGCAGCCTGTCAAAGACATGTCAGATTCCCAAATCCTTTTTGCACATGCTAGCAGCAGCAGCCTCAGCAGCAGTGACACGAAACTATAAGGGATCATTTGATAAAACCATTTAAAACAATCCTCTTCCCAATATCAGCTATAACAATTTCCTAGTCCTTAAGTGATTGAACATACCAAGAAACTAGTGGAAACAACTCTAGCAACACAACAAACTGGTTCTGTTGGGACCTAATCTTCATGGAAGACAGCAAAGCAAACAAACATGAACAATAGATTTAACGCAAACCACTTGTAATATTATTCCAGATTCCTAGAACCTTCTGTTTTTCCATTCTCCATTTAAATCCTGATACAGAAAAGACATAAGAAGATGCACAGAAACGTCCTTCTAGTGCATTTTAATGTCATGTGGGATTTTGTTTACACATTGCAAAATAACTGTTGCTGAGATGTGTTGCAGAAATGTGTTGCAGAAATGTCTTGTCAGTGAATATACCCAAATGGCTCTTCAGCCCCATAGGGAACTTTTAGAAGAATCACAAGTTCAACTAACACAACTACATTAAGCATATAACCGAAAGTCAATCTTACATTCAAGCTTGGGAATGGCCTGGGAAATTATATGGTCCTCTAGGTTTTGTTGAACTGTAACTCTCAACAACCCTAGCTTGCACAGACAGTACTGAATGGCAATTCAAAACATCTGAACGACTGTGTGATTCCTACCCTTGGTTTACACACTACCTGATATATCTGGCCTCTATAAACTGAATGTTGAAAGTGTCAAATAGGAAATACTTGTGAGAGTTTTGGGTCTCAAGAAAAAACCCTAAAACATGCACCTCCAGACAGAAGGGGCCAACCAGATGGCTGGAGGGGAGCACTTGGATCCCCTTGTGAAAGACCAGCATTTCTGGCTGGCGTTTGCACCAGTCGGCTGAGAGGAGGGACTTATGAAACTTTCCTGCAGGTAGTTCCTTCCCTTTTCATTTTGGCCTGCATGTACCTTCCTATTTCTAATGTTTCATTATGACTTTGCCATGACTACACAGTTCTGCTAGAGACTTGTTCTTTCTATTTCCAGAGTTAAAGGCTATCTGATAATCACATCAGGCCAATTTGAAAACCCCACCTTCCTCTCTGTTTCTCCACCAGCATATCTGCGGACCACATCCTCCTCAGAGTCTTGTTGTTTACTCTAGAATTGACTATCCACCCTTTCTCCATCTTTAGTATTTCTGGAAAAGTACGAAATACTACTAATTGCTACTAGAATGGCAAAGAGTCTGTTGTATTGTTCTGACTGGATTGTACTTGTGACATTTTGCTTGTTGGCCCTAAATCGGAAACTAAGGAGAAATCTAATAATCTCCCAAACTCTTTTAACATGAGCAATTTGTTTTTGCTCATATTTTATTATCCAAGTAAGTTGTATAACTCAAGCTCAGCATAGTTTAATAAATATGAAGAAGTTAACATTCAAAGTACTTGCAGTACTAAAATTCCTCTGCTGCAGAACACACAGCACTGTTTTGGGTCCCACCAACAGCTCATGACTAAATCCCGCTGAAAGTAATGGGAGTGACTAATTTGTATAATTGGTTTCAGTGGGATTTAGCTTTGATATCTTTGGATCAAGGCCAGAGAGTGATTTGCAATACCACCCAATCTACAGCATTTTATCTCTCTATGGTTGTTTTTCACTGATAAACTGAAATAGCAAAAGTAAATCAACTATTAAAAGCTATACTCTTTAATCAGTATTTAAAATCTATGCTGGACATTTAAATATATGTAAATTTATTCATCAACGTACATTACGAATATGAGCACACTAGCAATGAACACAATGTACTACGTGACCATTTACATTTAACAGTCAAGCAGATTAATGACTAGATTTTTAACATATTGCTCAGAGATAAAATTTTTTTAGGGAAAGTGACTATATAAAATCAGGACTAATCTTGTGATGGTACTACAAGAAGGAAGCAGCATCCTGTGAATATTAACATTATTTCAGTTTAAAACTAGTAAAGAAGAGCACAAAACTTTGGTTTGTGTTATGTATATATGTGTGTTTTGCTGGAGGGTTTTTGGCCTCAGGTTAAAACCTGCTTGCAACAAGTGTCTATAGACTATATTTGTAAGAATAATGTGCTTGAAAAAATATTTTATCATGATTTGGGTAAGATTGTATATAGCTGACAGAGCTCAATGATCTCAGTACAAACACAAAACAATCTATGCGTAATGTCAAAGTGTATTATCAAGAAAACATATAATATTCTATTTACCAAAATCCCCAGTACAAAGCTCAATTCAGTGGTACACAGAAATCAAAAGGAGCAACCGCTCTCAAACGTAACCGTTCTGGGTTTGGATAGGGATTCCACTGTGTATAGGCTTCAGGGATACATTCAATGCAAAAAGTCATATAAACAAAGTAAGCATAGAGTCATGAGGCTATATGTAAGCTGAAGACAATAATGAAGATGAAGCGTCACTCTCAAAACAATCTTCATGGAAAAGATCCAACTCAAGTCCAGTGAAAAATGGAGCACTGCTTCTCAAAATAAGTCTTCAAAGAAAAGTCCCAATGGCATTCAACAGGGGTGCCCGGGTATTTTTGTACCCTGTTTCGGGGAAAGCAATCCCCTTCCTCAGGAGTTGATAAATTCAGCAACTCTAGACTCTTATCTATAACAAAACATAACATCACATAGAGTAACAAGTATTTTCCAGCACAATTACAGTAGTGAAGATAATGGATACATCAAGCATATAACATATACTCACATCATGCCAAGTAGCTAATACAAAAAGTGACTCTGCTAGAAGTAAATTCACACTGCGAGTAATTCTGAAGGGTCATCCACAGGTTTATAAAGAGTAATCAGAAACTTAAAGGAAACAGCTAAAATTAAGTGACTCGTTAAGTCCTTGAGGGGAAAGGGTTTTCAACTTAAAGATCCAGAACATTTCCCTTTGGGATAATAGTTCTTCCAAATTCATATGGGGTTTTGGTGTGATGCATTCCAGAGCACAAAATTTGAGGGAATTGGATGAATGTTTGTGTTGTGTAAAGTGTGAATATAGGAGGGACTCCATAGATAAACATTTTATTCTAGATTTATGTTCAGAAATTCTAATTCTCAGAGGTCTTGTTGTTTTTCCAATATACCATAAACCACAGTCACATGTTAGAAGGTAGATAAGATTACTGCTGTTACAATTGGAAAAATGTTTGAGCGTGGTGCCCACTTTGTTCCTATAGTTGTGTACCTCCTTAGTTTTCCATGATTGCGGACAACATTTACAGCGTCCACAAGGGTAATGGCCTCTCAAAGTGCTTTTAGGTGTAGTAGTAGATGTGGTTAAATCTGTATGGATTAACAAGTCTCTTATATTTTTAGTACGCCTATTACCAAAAATGGGTGGTTGGGACTTTTCTTTGAAGACTTATTTTGAGAAGCAGTGCTCCATTTTTCACTGGACTTGAGTTGGATCTTTTCCATGAAGGTTGTTTTGAGAGTGACGCTTCATCTTCATTATTGTCTTCAGCTTACATATAGCCTCATGACTCTATGCTTACTTTGTTTATATGACTTTTTGCATTGAATGTATCCCTGAAGCCTATACACAGTGGAATCCCTATCCAAACCCAGAACTGTTACGTTTGAGAGCGGTTGCTCCTTTTGATTTCTGTGTACCACTGAATTGAGCTTTGTACTGGGGATTTTGGTAAATAGAATATTATATGTTTTCTTGATAATACACTTTGACATTACGCATAGATTGTTTTGTGTTTGTACTGATATCTTACAAGTACTCTGGGATATTGTGTAGTAGAGCTCAATGATCTCCCAAAACAATTCTGCCAGGTTTCACTGTGATCCTGCAGAAGGCAGCATTTATGGGGTCAGGACATGTAAGTTAGAGAAGGATATTTATGCCAGAACAATGACGTCTGCAGTTTGGCTGTGATTTACATGTAAAAGAAGAAACATATATTGCCAAGATTCTCATCCATTCTCAAAGAGCAATTGAAGACTCGACTCACAAACTTTTGATCACAGAATCATGCTGGAGATCATAAAGGTTCCTGGAGAAGTGTAAAAAAAATAGTGGTCCTATCCCCCTAACCCCAGTGAATGTGAAAGGCCACCTGAATAGCGCATATTAATTCACTTTCATAACAATACTCTTGGGACTTGCAGTTTAGAGAGGCTCATTTTGAATTTTCAGCCAGAGAGCTGTGGTACGTCTCCAAACTACAAACCCTACAGAATGTAGCTGTGGAAGTTGTAAGTAGAATCATGTTGTGATAACTGTATAGTCCGAAAGGCTTCATTAAAGACACAGGCTGCAAAGCAAAATATAGTCTTTTTGCTTCAACTTTGTTTAACTTTGTTCAACTTTGTGGCCACAGAGCTTCTGGTTGCCATTCAGCACCTTTGCCTATGTCATCAAGGGTGCCTTTGTGACTTGGAGAAGGGAGGGGGATCACCGCCTCCTTTCTTCCTTTCCCTCTCCAACTCTATAACATTAGCAATGATCCCAAGTGATGGCCAGGAATTCTCTTGACGCATGGCTGCCGCTGCAAAGACAATATGATACAGGTAAAGGTGGCCATCCAGTGGGGCTGAACTGGATTTGTCCCAACTGGATAGGTGAGGCTCCATCACATGAGATGAAGATCGGATGCCCTAGGGCTGGCCATGAATATCGCCACTTCAGATTAGCTCTGTATTAAATGGCATATGTAGATGGGCACTATGACTCTGTTTAGATGTCACAATAAGCCAGAATTCTGAAGAAGATGAGCTTTCTGTGGGGAAATGCCACATTGCTGATGCATACTGTTTAATTGTTCCCAAGGCTAAGGGAGTTGGGAACAAACAGAAAGGCAAGCAAATGATTATTATATGATGCTTCATTTTTTGTTTATTCTGAGTAAGGATATGAAGAAAACATTAATATTCACAATCTTATAAAATAAAAGACACTCATATATTCTTGCCAACAAAAAGAACAGCACCATGAATCTTCACATCACAAGATTTTGTTTGGGAACATTCACTTGTGTAAAAATTACACATCTTGTTTCTGCACAGAAAACATATTTTTGTCCAAACAGCAATATTTTTGCACCAGAAAAGGTGTATTTTGCATGTCTTTATATAGAAAACACATTTTCTGTACCAAAAACATTGTTTGGATAGAAAATCCACATTTTTTGCATAGAAAAATCTCCCTAAATTAGTCCCAAACTAGAAATAATATCTAGTTTTAGGAGAAAAAAACTCCTAAAATTATTCATTCTTGCACGTGGAAGCAAAATAAGCAGTGAGTTACCCAATATATACTCATGTATAAGTCAAACATATTTATAAGTTAAGGGTAGATCTGGGAATAAAAATTATGAAATTTTATATGACCCAAAGATAAATCAAAGGTCATTCCATGGAGAAGGGAAAGACGGTATCTCATGAAGCTAGTTGCCCCTGGCTGCTACCATTTTCCCACTAAAATATTCAAAAAGGACAGAAGTTTTGCTGCAAATTTTGACTAAAATTTCTAGACATATACATGAGTACATACAGTACAAGCTTAGTATTAAGGTAGATTTTCAATATGTATCCTAGCTGGGAAAGACAGGTGTAACTAACAATATGCACACATTTTTCAGTTTAGGGACAGCTTCTGTGTCTTCAGTTGGTTAAGTAGAAGACAAAACTTCAGTGGATGTTGCTTGTTACGGAGTTAGGTAACAAGCAACACTCAATATCAATGAAGGTGAAGAAGTAAAGTTGTTTATAGAGTCTGAAACAATTTACCAAGTAAGGCCTTTGAAAGCTCACCTTCAATGATGTATTTAAACTTATACAGAACTGTTTTACCTGAGCTGGTGGATGCTGGAGATTTGCTGCGTCTAGATGGGCCTGGGCTCTTGGTAGCACTCCTACGTGGTGTCGAAGCTATTTTGGTATAGGAGGTGGATTTCACTACCCGACATTCTGAAAGACAAATACATATATATTTAATTAGTAAACAGTGAACAGCAGTGCATTTTTATAATAGTGATACATGGGGAAAAGCTATACAATGTATGACTTACTCTCCAGAAGATAATTAGATATTGTTAACTAACATAACAACAACAACAGTAATAATAATAATAATAATAATAATAATAATAATAATAATAATAATGACTTTATTTTTATACCCCACCACCATCTCTTCAAAGACACAAGCCCAAAAATACAGATTAAAACCCTACAATAAAATAAAATGAAACAAAATAAAATCGACAACAACATCAGAAAAACATTACAATGCCAGTACACATTTTAAAAACAGTACAATGGCTGAAAGATTAAGTGCTGAGTGTGGAAGTATCAGGAAATGTGCAATCGTTCCTAGATAGAGCCCAGGGAAAGTGCAAAGTGCACTTCAATTCACTTAAGGTCACAGCTGGGAGGGTAACGTCCTTAGGCATTTACAGTAACAGGAATATAGGTGGGAGGGCCAATGAAAGTACAAAGAGTTATGGTGATATTGATCCAATTCTCTGGTGAATTGCCTAATCAAATGCACAGCGGAACAGCCAGGTTTTTAACTTCTTGTGGAAAATGGGAAGGGTAGGTGCCAACCCGATCTCTTTGGGTAGCGGGTTCCAGAGCCAAGGGGCCACCACTGGAAAGGCACTCTCTCTCGTTCCCACCACTCGTTCCTTGAGACGGCAGTGGAAGCGAGATCAGAACCTCCCCAGATGATCTTAAAATATGTGCTGGTTCATAGCAGAAAATGCGATCTCAAAGATAGGCACAGAGAAATACCCAGAAAGATAAAGATCTAGATCTAGATGGGGTACATTTATTTTTAATGGTTTTACAGCTGTTATATTTTAAATGATTTTAATTTTTTTAAACTTCACTTTCATTTTAATATTAGAGTTTATTGGTTTTAACTTTTAAAAAGCTAGTATGATTGACTTTAGTCATATTATAAAATGCAGAACTCTTTCTTTATATTATAATGTCTGTTGTATACATCCTCAGGCTCTAGACTTGCAGAAAGACAGTGTGTGACTCAAACTAATAAAAATTAAATAAACAGATTTATATATACTAGGTCCAGGTCATCATTCTGCATTGTAATCACGTTGCAGAACAAACATGTTGGCTTAAAGGATGTAGAAGAACTCTTTCTTAAGCTACATAAGGTAATAACAGGACTCTGCCATGTCAGTCATAAAAGGTTTTGAGGACAGTGAAGCAGGTTTGATTTTCCTACATAATCCTCTGGTTTAGTCACATCTCACAATAAAGCAAACAGAATTTATCAGGAGCAGAGGAAAACTGCTCAGAGATCAGTAAAATCAATGTACAGGAAGAACTACTTTCTCACCTGAGACCAAGCCAAGATGCTGGAATTTATATGTGCACACACAGTTCTAAATTATCCCTGCAAAATTATTTCTGGGCTAAATTTTAAGGAAACCGAGTATCCACGAGAGTCAATAAATTCTGCTCACAACACAACCTAAAATAACCAAATAAGTCAAATAAAATCTAAAAGAATAAAACATTTACTTGTTAAAACCGATTGCAGCAGGGAGTTATATGACTGTGGTTTTACCAATGCTGTAGAATTAATGCAGTTTGACACCACTTTAATTGCCATGGCTCAATGATAAGGAATCTTGGCGTTTGTAGTTTTATAAGGTTTTTTGCCAAAGGTCTGTCAAAGACTACAGGTATCTCACAAAAATGCACATCTGATATGGAGATGTCATTGGCCTATATGAGAGAATTTGGTTGTCTGGGTTTATTAGATTAACTTTCTGAAGTCTTGCAATCCATTTTGCATTCAACACCTCCTTGGAGGGCATCTCTTCTTGATGGCTGCCATTATGACTCATCCCCTCCAGTTGGCCCCAATGAGTAAGCATTCTGCTTAGTGGAGGACATCTCCAAGGGAGAAAACCAAGGGAGCTCTCAGCATCCCCATTGTTGAATCAGGCACTTATCAATTTGTATCTCCAAAACCCAAGGCCTTTACTCAGACTGTTCAGTAAAACCCACACATATCTGAATCAATCAGCATAAACTGATCACAATCAGATCAAGGTATAGTTTGTTCTTTATTTACAATTCCAAGTCACTGTAAGTTAGCTTCCGAAAGCTAGGACTTTTTTTTATTCTAAGAGCAACTGTAATACTGTTCCCTGATGAAGATACTCACACCTGTCTAGAGCCAAACTGACTTTCCCCGCATTACCAATCTAAAATCAACCCCGTAATGCATTTTGATCAAGTATGTAATGGCCAGATAAGCCCTTTGTTTAAAACTAGCAGAATACTCTGCTCTGTGCAGAAAAAGGTAGAGCTTCTTGAAAAGCTGAGCTTAGGATATTGATCTACAGATATAAAGTGGCATCCGCTGGGGTTTGGTTCCCAATGGATGCCTTAATAATAATAATAATAATAATAATAATAATATACTTTATTTAAAATCCATGGATGCTCAAGTCTCATTGTATATAACAGCATCATAAAATGGCCCCCCTTCCAGGAAAAATCAAACACCCTTTTTTGATTTTTAAAAAGAGTATTTTCAAAAATCTCTCTGGTTGCTGATGCTGGAATTGATTATTTCCCCCCCTCATATTAACACATTTTCAAAGCAAAGTTAGCCCCTCCCCCCACTTTTCAACATTATGGGATCCCCCCCCCCAAGTACCTACAATAAATTGTACGTATTGTAACACAGTGGTTTGCTATGAGTTTTCCAGGCTTAAGAAGCATTATTTTCTGATGTTTTGCCCACATCTATAGCACGCATCCTCAAAGGTTCTGAGGTTTGTTGGAAACTAGGCAAGTGAGGTTTATATATCTGTGGAATGTCCAGGGTGGGAGAAAGAGCTCTTGTCTGCTTGAAGCAAGTGTGAATTTGCAATTGGCCACCTTGAATTAGCATTTAATAGCCCTGTAGCTTCAAAGCCTGACTGATTGGTGCCTGGGGGATCCTTTGTTGGGGATTGTTAGCTGGTCCTGATTGATTCTTGTCTGAAATTCCCCTATTTTTTTGACACAGTTTTCTCCTATATACACATTTTGTGCATCATTCTCCACACTCATACAGACATCACATACTATGTTACAAACCTTTTAAAAATGTCCTTTTTATGTGTAATCTCTCCTAACATATGCATATTTGTGGAAAAAATGACAGGAAATCAGCATAACTAAAATATTAAAAAACCTGAAGAACAACTGCATTTCCCTTTCTGGTCATAGTCTGGCAAATGTGAATTGGGTTAATTGGGTTAATACATATTAAAATGAAAATTAGATTTTGCTCCGGTTCTTGTTTGGAGGACTTTAATCACAATCAGTCAGGGACCATCCTATAAAATGTAATGACATTACAAAGTCATGTAGCTAGATTTAGCATAATGCTGAATTAGTCACCATTCAGACTATTCAGAGTATGGGCAGAGTATGGCTGTATTTTAAAGTGCAATGGGCCTTTCCAATCTGTGAGCTCCTGATCTGCATTTCAATTGACCGTGAATTTCCATGGCTCCTACCTCCTGGACACGTTGATGCAGGCACATGCATGCTGTTGCCATTTAATAATATGGGATATAATTATCCACTTTATTGGCACCCAAATCCCAGAACCAAATTCCCATGGATCCAGAAGGTCCATTGTAAATGGCATTTGGAAGAAACCTCTACTTCCAATAACATTATTGTTGTTTTCAGACTTCTGAAAAATACTTGGAGGAAACAGTCAACTATAAACATCCTGTTTTATCTTGTATGTGAACTACAGTCACGGGGGTTCATGGAAGTAGGATGAAAAATATTCTACACCAATGCTAGTCTCAATTTTTGACTGGTTATTTTTGTGTAACCAAAATAGCATTATCCAGACAGAAGTAGAACTGAAAAGTTTATTAAAGCCCCAAATAACTTCAGAAGAAAGTATTCTGAAAAACAATTTCACATCCTAGTAAAGTCTGGATGTGCCTAAATACCCCAGAATGCTGGTTGTTGGGTGGAGAAGAACTATAAAAATCAAGTGGGCAGGGATGGATGGATGAATCTGTTTCCGTTTTTATAACTTGACCTTTCTACAACACACATTTGTTCCACCCGATTTCTGAGTTAATTTGAGAATTTTTGGTGAGAAGTACACAGGAAAATCCATTCAAAAATATATCTTGCTGTGTGCAATCTACATATATTTTAATGCTGGGATTAGAAGAAATTCATAGTGTTATTATATCCACATTCCTACATGGATCCAACAAATATCAATCACTCTATCATTAATCAACTGGTATTATTGTTGGAATGGATAAATAGCAACAGAAATATAAAATGTCTGACTCTTACTTTCTTTTCTTATGTAAAGATGTATTGGGTTAAAGAAGTGAAAGAATAAGTTCTGTGATCCTTTGTTAATTACACAATCAACAAAAAGATACAAAAAGATTCCCTTATGGAAACTAAAAAGGCTTTTCCCTACAAAATGTAAAAATCAACCTTAGTGTGGAATTCAACACCAATTTATTCAACAGCATGCAAAAAGGAAAGGAAGCCATAATGAATTTCATGATTTTTTAAATAAACTAAATTGAAATGATGGCAGATGACCTTCCTTATTCATGAGTTCTGCATCCCAGAATTCAATACACCATGGCATATGTGTATGTGTGTATTCCAAAAATCAAACATTTGAGTTGCTTAACAGTGATGTGCATTTGGGTAAAAGTTTGTCCCATTTCACTTCTGGGCTTTCGTTGTGAGACCCAATCCATTTTTGGTAAGCCTCCCAAAATTGGCTCCCCTGCCTGAGGTGCTCAGGTGACTGGCAGTCAGTGGTCACTGAGCTTCTTCTCTTCCTCCTCCCTCCTCCCTCATGCCTGCAATGCCCTGGAAAGTGTGTGTGTGGGTGGCAGGGCACAGCCAGACCTGGAAAGCATGTGCACACCTGTCAG